CTACACAGCAAGATTCTGTCTCAACTACAAAAGGGTTTAAAGATACATCTAGAAAACACCTTACTTTTATCCTGAGACTTCTGCACATCACTGGTGACTGGTAGATGTTCTTTCACTGATAAAGCTAGAGCAGCTTCTATGCCTCTCTGGAAGATCTTGTCATCTAAGGCCACCCTAAGACAGAAACAAAATTAATACAAAGTTTTAAAAAAACATCAATTTCAACTAAACAAAACTTGCAAGTTTCCTATATTACTGTTTAAGACTAGAGGAATGTTTTTAAACAATAATCATCATCCACAGACCGCAGACAGTAAAACTCCTAAAACCGAACAATGTCATGTCATACTGTGACTTACAGGTTTGAAACAGGAACAGCATGTGCCTTTGCCCTTACAGTGTTCTTTAATGGTAATATCTCTCTCTTCCCCATCACGGGCTTCCCAGAAAGCACTCGCTCTGCTAAGCAGTCCTGCTCGGAACACTGCTTCTACTTTCAGGTCTTTCCTGATTTCATCTATGCCTCTTTCACAGATATTACAGTCCTTATATTAACTTTTTAAAAACTGGATCTTTCCAATCTAGATCTTAACAAATGGTTTGCTACATTACGGTGCACAAGGCACTGCACTAGCTGAAAAAAGTACCCTCAGGGAGTCTGCAGAAGAAGAAAGAGGTGGGGAAAGAAGACATACCTAGAATTATCCCATATGAGTCAGATTATAATCAATCTCCTGTTAGGTTGGTCAAGTGGCAGGAAACATAAAAAGTCAAAGACATAAGAAAAGGGTTATATAAAGGAGGAAGCACTAAAATACATCTTTTTAAAGAATTACTATTTTAAGTAAGTTTTGTTAAGATATATTTCATATACCCTAGAATTTGCCTTTTATAATGCACAATCCAGCAGTTTTTAGTGAATTCAGAGTTGTGAAACCATCATGACATCTTTTTTCGGAGACAGGGTCTCACTGTGTAGTGCAAGCTGGCCTTGAAGTCACTATGGAGCACAGGGTGGCCTCCACTCAGTTACAGGCATGCACCTCCACACCCGGCCATCACACTCTAGTTTTACAAAATGCTCACTACCCCCTCATTATTTCATATCCATTAACAGTTATTACCACTTACACATCACCCAGCTCCTAGCCCACTACCAATCAAATTGCCTCTATTTTTCTATGCATATGCCCATTCTGGGCATTTCAAATAAGTAGAATCATAAAACTTGTGGCCTTCTGTGTCTGGTTCCTTTTAGTCAGCACAACGCTTTGAAAATTCATCCATGTCGCAGCTTGCTTCTTCTTGTGGCCAAGTAAATATTCCATTATAGATGCTACATTTAACATTTATCCAGTCATCAATTGATAGGCACTGGATTGCTCCCATTTTTGGCTCATGAATAATGCTGTGAACAGTTATGTACAGGTTTCTGTGGGGAGGCTGGTTCTGATTTCCTTTGTTCAGCCACCTATTGATACATAACTTTAAACTGAGAAAACACTGAACTGTTTCTCAATTTAGCCACACCCTGCAGCAATGCATGAGTCTCAGTCTTTTCACATCTTCATTAAAACTTGTCTTTTTGATACGAGACATGGAGCAGGTAGAAAGTATTATTTTACTGTGGTTTTAATTTGCATGTCCCTGACAGCTAATATGACTACACATCTTTTTATATTAATTGGTTATCTGTGTATCTCTGGCGAAATGTTTATTCAAATCTTTAGCATCTTCAACTTACATCTCCCACCCTACCCAGGATCTAGAATACAAGTGACAACTAATAAATACTTCATGGCAGGCTGATAACCATAATAGAAAGCTAGAAGTTATATTTTGTACTACTTTTGCTTTTAGCATATTTTTAACAGGATTATCTTTTACTGTTTAACTTTTTAAAGGTATTTAGTACAAGGTTTACGGGGTCTACAGGGTCTCAATATGTAGATTGGTCTCATAGTGATACTGTTTTCAGCCTCCCAAGCGCTGGGATGATAGGTGTGCACCACCACACCCAGTCTCAGTCCCCATCTCAGCGTGCCCTGGGGGTGCAGCCAGCACAGCATGCAGGGGATCAAATTCTAGCTACTGCACTCTGCCTAAGCAGGCGCTTAATCCGCTGAGCTATCTGGCCCGGCCCTTAACAACTATTTATACACTTTTGGTGCAAGTATTTTGTAGGAGTTCAGGATTAAAGACAGAAGTGGGGTCTGTAGTTATTATTTTAATATGTAAATAAGTATTTGCTTTTCTGTTTGAAATTTTCAAGCTAAAAACGGCTTAATATGTCTGTTCTCTGACATGTACTGAGTAAAATAAAACCTATTACCAACCTTAAATTCTAACTTAAACCAAAAGTTTGAAAATGTATCTCTTTTAAATGAACACAGCGAAGGGTCGGCCAAATAGCTCAGCAAACAGGTGCAGGGGCTGGAGGTTCAGAATCCTGGGCCTGCCGTGCTGGCCCCGCCCCTGGGGCACACTGAGACGGAAAGTGAGTCTGGGCTTGGTGGTGTGCGCCTGTAATCCCAGCTCTTGGGAGGCTGTAAGCAGGTGGATCACTACGAGTCCAATCTAGTAAGACCCTGAACACCC